GCTATTGTAAACAAAGCCGCGATAAACATGGGTATACATATATCTACTTGGATGTCATTTATGGTCTCTTTAGGGTATATTCCCAGTAACTTTTCTTTTGTCAGCAGTTGGCGAATGGTTAAAGTCAAAACCAAACCTAATGCTGTCTAGCTGATAGCTGATTCCAGCTCCTAATCACCCTTCATCAGGTTTCCGGAGGCTGTAAATCTTTATGAGAGGGGACTGCCCATTTTGCTCTGGTGGAGCAGCTGGTAGGTTTGAACTGCTGACCTTCTGATTAGTTGCTCAATGCATAGTACATTATGTCATCAGAACCCCTGGTTAGTGCTAAAATCAGGACTCAACCTCAGTTTTTCAGTCTTATAGTTCAAGTTTTATACAGCACCTCTTCTTATTGCCATTATTAAATTGAAATAATCAGTCTTATAGTTTTAACATGTTAATGTCTTATATTTCAGAGAGAAACTAATAAGTAACTTTTCCTATCTGTTGTTATTTACCACATTTGAAATTAAAACTGTGAAGTTTAAAAATTACTTAGTGACTAAGAAAAGTGTTTCATTTGAACATAGAGCTTTCTGGCTACAATATGATAATTTTAGTTTTATTAGCTCATGGAGATACTGACTATATTTTTTTTTCCTGATAAAACTTTTGTGTCCAGGCACAGCACAAATTCGTGGTTATTGATTTAGACTATACCCAGGAATCAACCATAAACTCTCTGTGCCTGGCTAAATTATTGATACCTTAGACCCAGTGAATTCCCAGAAATTTCTGCTTAAGAAGGGTGAGCGTTTTTACCTTGCAGGGTTGCATGTGATAGGAACCAGGTGCTATCTTTGTAAATTTGCTAGGTAAGGTATTCCTGAGCCTTGTAAAGCTGAAGAAGTATTTATAGCTTTTTTTGTAATATCATAAAACAATAACAAATGTCAAATTAAATCAGGGTAATAGACCTGACAGGCCTATATATGTAGATTATCTATATCTACATTGATATAGATGCAGACATTTTATATCATATCTGCCCACCACTCAGTTTGCTGTACTATAGTGACGTGTGTGTTGCTGTGATGCTGGAAGCTAGGACTCCAGTATTTCAAATACTGCCAAGGTCACCCTTGATGGTCAGGTTTTGGTGGAGCTTCTAGACTGAAAAGAAAAACAAAGACTGGCTATGCACTTCTGAAATACTGGACCCTCGAAAGAGCCATGAATAGCAGAACATTGTCTGATATGGTCCTGGAATATGAACCTCTGTAGTTGGAAGGCACTCAAAATATGACTGGGGGAGGGTTGCTTTTTCAGGGTAGAGTTTGCCTTCATGATGTGGATGGAGCGAAGCTTTCACTCAGTGAAGGGTCTTAATTTGCAAATGAGCAGAATCAGCTGCAACTGTCATTAACGGTTGGAACATGGAATTTATCAAGTATGAATCTAGGAAAATTGGAAGTTGTTAAAAATGGAATGGAATGTATGAAGATCAGTATCCTAATCATTGGTGAACTGAGATGGATTGGTGTTGGCCATTTGAATCAGACCATGATATGATCTGTTGTGCTAGGAATGACAAAGAGGAATAGTGTGCTATTCAGGGAGCTCTGATGGTCTAGGGATAAGAAGCTGCACTACAATCCCAAAGGCACGTGGTTTGAATCCACTAGCTGCTTCATGAGAGAAGGATGGACAGTCTTTCCCCAAGTGATTTACTGTCTCTGAAAATCTGTTGGAGGGTCAGCTGTGGGTCAGTTTCAACTGAAAAGAAGTGTGACATTTATAAAAAAGAACATTTCAAAATCTTATCCTGATGTTCAGTGCTGGCAGTCTTAGGATAATATCCATATACATACAAAGAAGACCTGCTAATACACCTATTATTTGGATATATGAACCTGTTACTAAAACCAAAGATGAAGAAATTGAAGATCTCTATCAACTTCTGCAGTTTAAAATGGATTAAATATGCAGTCACGACACATTAATAATAATTGATGATTGGACTGCAAAAGTTAGAAAAAAAAGTGATAGTTGAAAAAGACAAACTTCGTGACTGAATGAGGCTGGCAATCACGTGGTAGAATTTTGTACAATCAATGATTTAGTTATTTCAAATACCCTTTTTAAACAAACAAACAAACAAAGACTATACAAATAAACCTAATAGAATTCATGGAAACCAAATTAACTAATTCTGTGGAAAGAGACAGTAAAAAGCTCAATGTAATTAGTAGACCAAAGGCAGATGGCAACAGTGGAACGGACCATCAAGTACACATATCAAGCTCAAGGTGAAGCTGAAGAAAATGAAAACAAGTTCAAGAGAGCCAAAATAGAATGTTGAGTTTATCCCACCTGGGTTTGAAAACCAGCTCAAGAATTATGCACTGAATATTTTTTTTAATTTTTATGTGCTGAATATTAAATACCAAAGGCTGGAGTTGTGGGATGACATCAAGAACATCCCACGTGAAGAGGGAGAAGGGAAGCCATTAAGAAAACAAGAAAGAGAGAAAAGATGTATGTAAAAAAATTGATGAAATTCCAAAATCTCTGTAGATGTTCATTGAAATTAATAATAAAAGAAAGGGGAAAAAATTGATGAAACTTGCTCTTGAATGTAAAGAAGCTAAGGAGAAAGGGAGAAGTGATGAAATAAGAGAGCTAAACAGAAGCTTTCAAAAGGGCAGGTGAAGCAGACAAAGCCCTCTAGTGAAAAGATGGAGATTCCAAGGAATCTCTGGGAATCCTAGAGATAGAAAAGTAGAAGGGAAGAACACACTTCGCGTTTCTAAAGGTGAAATAACTTAAGAATAAATTCAGGAGTTGCAAAATAGGAAAATAAAATATTGAATGATGCAGGAAACACTTTAAAAAAAAAAAGAGAAAAGAAGAAATACACAGAATCACTGTGCCAGAAAGAATTTATTGATACCATTTCAGGAAGCAGCTATGATCATGAACCTGTGGTTCTGGAGGAAGAAGTCTAAGCTACAGTGAAGGCATTGGCAAAAACATAAGAGTCTAGAAATTGCTGGAGTATCAGTTGAGGTATTTCAGTTGGCCTTCCCCATTTGTCTGCAGCAAGAAATTTGGAAGACAGCTACCTGATCAACAGATTGGAGGTGATCTAAATTTATGTTTATATTTTTTTTAAAAAGATGTTTTAAGATATTTTGGACTGAACAACACCAAACATATCTATGTGAACCCAGATGGTGTCTAATATGTCAGGCTGCTAATTGTGAAGTGAGCTGTTAGATGACATCATGTACTGTGCAGGGAAGGATGGGTCCTCTGCTGCTGTAAAGATGGGCACTTTCAGAAGCGGAGAGCCGTGATGGGTCATTGATGTGGGCCTACCACCGTGGTGCTGGGCCCATGTCCCACATGGCCGCCCCAACGGGTGACGGTGCTCTTGGTCACTTGAAAGACCCAAGGGAAACATGAGACTCAACAGGATAAGTTCCCCTCACTGTGATTTCCCTACCCCCCCTTCTACTACATATATGGATTTAGCAATAGTGTGTTTTTTCACTTCTCCTGCACAGTTAAAATAATGCCCAGGAAGGTTGTAAAGAGGAGTGATGATCAAAAGGAAAAAGCTACTCAATACAAAAGAAAACTCTTCTCAGCATCTCCTAGATGAACTCTTATTAGTCAACATGTTTACTCTGATCTTACTATAGAAAGTCCTTTTGTATGCCATTTTGAATTTAAACATTTATTCTCAAAATCTCAGCATGTAAATCTATAAAATTCTCACTGGCTCTGTCTTTGTCCCTTTGAGGCTTTTAACTAATTTAATTTTATTGTTTCTGGTCAAAGGCCATTTGAAGACTTACAGAGCAAAGAGCAAATCTATGATCTTTAGAGTAAATTATAGAGATAGATAAACATTTTAAAGCATGAACAAAGTAACTAGCGTTTTAGGTGTGATTGTCTAAGAATCATAAATGCAATACAAAGCAACCAGTTAAAAAAGAGGCTTCATAAAATGTTTTTCTACCCATCTGCGTCAAACCTTAAGTATTCTACTGCCTCTGGAATTGGTTTTGCTTAAATACTAAACAGAACAGCCAGGAGACACTTCCTATGTAGATCCAGACACAAAGGGTAGCATTTTTAAGAGAGAGTTGTTATTGTTGTTTTAGGTGCCTTTGAGTTGACCGTGACTCTGTGACCCTGTGAACAGCAGATATGAACCTTGCCCTATGTTATGGCATCTTCCCATGCTTGAGCCCATTGTTTCAGTCAGTGTGTCAGTCTATCTTGTTGAGGGTCTTTCTCTCTGTCTCCAACCGGTCTTCCAATTCAGGAGATTTACTTCATTGCTTCAGAGCCTCTTTTCCACTAAAGATGACTCCATTTAATCGTCTTTCTCTATAGAGACAAAAATAGCTCTTTTTCTGAACACTTAAAAATCTTTAAATCCAAAAGAACATGTTTATGTAGGCATTATCACAGACTACAATGAACATTTTCTAGGGGAGCATGAATGCCTTTTATAATACTGACTTGAAGGATTGAGAACTGTGTTCCATATAGTATTACTTCCCCTGATAGTCACTGAATCGATGATTTTTTCAGCAGACATTTATTAAACACCAGCTCTGTTAGACACGTCCTTGGATGGTACACGGAGTATAAGTTCGGCTGCTAATCTAAGGGGTAATGCAGAAGGCCTGGCAGCGGGCTTCTATCCATTATTGCCAATAAATATTAACTATGCCTTGAACTATAAGAGTAAATAAATATTAGAAAAAAAAATAAAATCAGAAAGCTCTTTAAAAGTGAAGGGAAAAAAATTATTATTGCTGAGAAAACCCTGTGAAGCAATTCTATTCTGTTATACACAGAGTGGGCAGGAGTTGGAATCTACTTGATAGGGTTTAGTTTTATATATTGGCTGTTGTTTTTTATCTAGTGCTGCTGTCCCAGATACTACAAGGGAATGGTTTTAACGAACAGAAATGTATTCTCACAGTTTAGGAAGCTAGAAGTCCAAATTTGGGGTGCTGGATCCAAGAGAAAGCTTGAAGCAGTTCTATCCATGACAGCCACTGTGCTGAATATTAGATGTAAGAATTAAAGATGGTAGCAGGAGACCGACACATTCTGGTGGTGCAATGGTTACCCTTGCCTGCTGACCCGAAGACTGGTAGTTTGAACCCAGCAGCTATTAAGTGTGGCAATCTGGGGGGCAGGGAAGTGAGCTGATTTCAAGCTCCACAGCCTTGGAAACTCTTTAAGGCAGTTAGCTCTATTCTGTCTTGTAGGATCACTGTGCGTCGGATTTGACTTGATGGAGTGGGCTTAATTTTAAATTCTGTAGGAATTGACAGTAGCAGGTCAGCTAGACATCACAAGGTTTAAGTGAGTCATCCTCTGACCTGTGAACGAGTGCAGCTCTTTCATTCTGTGAGAGTTCTAACCCTCTCCTGTCGAATCTGACTCCACAGCACCCAAAAACAAGAGCATGAAGTTCTAAAAGATTAAGAGTGAAGAAATAATTGAGCATCCATAAAATTTAACATCACAAATCCATGTGACCTGTCACCTCTACGTAATCCTCCAAAATCCTAATTAGTTGAATTAGTGGGCGTATGTGAGGAAGCCACAATGTGTCAGTGGTCATCAGGAGTGCGGAGCTGTGGGGAAGGAGAGTCGCTGGTGAGGTGATGCTTGTACAACATGGGGAGGAGGAGCACACGCTGTCTCTCCTCTCTTTGGACAGTGTATCTGCTTCCCTTTCTTTCCATTTCCTTCATTCATAGTCTTTCTCTCCTCACTTCCCAACCCTTCCTTTTCCTTACTGCTTTTTATGCTGTTCCTTTATTATCACTTTTTATTGCACACCATGTGAAATCTAGGCTAACTTAGAAATATTTATTGAATAAAATAATGTACCCTGTTCTTAATTATTAAATCTGGTTAGCAGGACCATTGATGAATCAAGTTTGCTTGGAAGAAGGGGGTGAGGTGGGTGATCTGAGCACTGAATTAACATTAATTATGCATCGTGGCTTTCCTGATTTTTACTAGGCCATTTATAGTTACACTTTGGCTATTTGTCTAATAGGTGATGTCCATTATAATGTCACAAATATTAATTTCTCAAACTGTGACTAGATAGGAACTTTTATGCAACTCTTCAGTGAAAGCAAATGGACAGAATACAATTTACTTGGACTATTAAATTTCCTTAAACTGCCCATTTAAAAAAAAGCCCTTAGAAAAATGTACTTAAACCATCTTTTTTTTTTTTTTTAAAGAAACAAGCAACCACAATTCGAACCCAACACTTAGAGGATGGGTTAACGTTTAGTCTTCACTGCATTTTGCTTACTCTGGGTGATGATTTTCAGTATGGGGGAAAAAATGTGTAGGCTGGAGAGGATCATGACGAACTCCACCCTCCTGGAGGTGTGTTTCAATGGAATCGTACTGTCAGTCCTTCCCCAGCATGTTAGGGGACCTCCTGCAGTGCTCATTTCTCCACGGTTCCCTTTTTATTAGTTTTTATTAAGCCACTCAAATGTGTTTTGCTTTATTACAATAACTACAACCGGACAATGCCATTATTTACGGTGTCCCAGCAAAACCTCACTGTACTTTTCCTTTCCTATCCATTCTCCAATCTCTGCTCCCTCGACTCCTATCCTGCCTTGCCACTGTGGGTAAACCTTTCCTTATTCTCTCTTTCTCCCCCTTGTCCACTCTAGCCCCCCACCATCCCATCAGGTATGCATGCTCTCTTCCAGCTTGTTAATTGCAGTGCACATATGGCCTGATCATCTGTTCATTTCAGGTTGATCTTCCTTTTCCTAATCCATTACAGTAGTCACTGTCTATCCATGATTTTGAACATCGCTTAAGATTCTTTCTTCCTGAAAAATGATGCCTTTATAGCTCTAAAAAAACCCCCAAAATCAGGAGTCTCTATGGGCCACCATAGACACTTACCAAGTAACAACATATTCCTGCAAAAACATGGTAATTTATTAGATTTTAACCCAGTTAATGTTATTGCACCAGCATACATAGAGGGGTTACTGAGAAAATGCTGAAATCTGTATGCTCACATTTAATGTTAGGGCGTATGATCTTCTGCCTCATACTAATATTGTAAACTGTACAGCGGGTCTGAACAGGTCTCACAGGGCATCCAAGATTTTCATTCACTCCAGTAAATGGCACTATGGTGTGCAGTTTGATGATCATGGCAAGTGTTTAGTTGGCTAGAGTGCTGGGTGGGTTGCTAGAGCCCATGCACCCCTGAGTGTGTAGGGGAAGCTTTCAGAAAAAAAAAAAAAACTCTGAGAAGATCACCCTCAAAGCCCATTTGGCAAAAGGCAGCCGCACAGATGTGTATGGGGGAGCACACCACAGCCTGTTCTTCTCTCTTTTCAGTTTTCAGTGCTCTACATCCTGTCATTCATAATCATCATGGTGGGCTTTACCATGTACTGCTCCACCCCCACGCGCACGGCAGAGCCGGCCGAAAGCAGCGTGCCTCCAGCCACTGTCATCGGGATCGACAACCTGGGGCTGAAGATTGAGGAGAACCTCCAGGAAACCCACTGTGCGGCCTTCTAGCTGCAGAAGGAGGCGCCTCCCAGGCTTCCTGGGAAACCAGAAGCCGCCGCCAGGGGAAAGCAGAAGCTGCTGAAGGGACATTTGGATCAATATCAGACTCGGAGAACATTCAGCAGCCCTGAATGGGCCCCAGTGGTTCCATTTAAGGAGGAAACACAGACCAGTGCTTCAAACATTTCCATTTGCTGTTTGACTCTGACACATTGAGACTCCAGGTGTCCGAGTAGAACTTTTTCAGTGGCCAACTCTTTGGAAGTAGATCACCTGGCCTTTCTTCTGATGCACTTCTGAGTGGGTTCAGCTACATCAAATACAGACATAGCCAAATAAAGTGGAACCTAAGGCAAAGATTTTTGTTTCTGGTTATTTGAGGATCAAAGTCTGTTAGTGTTGGGATTAAAGGTGCAGACCCCTATACTAGGAGGTTGGAGACAGAGGTGGGAAACAGAATGAATCAGCCTCAGGACAGAGCTGTCCAGATAAAGCGAGATAGGAAGGGGGGCAGTCCGGGGTGATTATGGAGTAGCTGGCCTTGTTGTCTTCCGGCTAAGGTGGTCATTGAACAGTCCTGGGGGTCTTTAGTTTATAAATGAGGCCTAGTGATTAAGTCTGTGTGACAGGAAGAGGGAGAGGGTGGGAGAGTTGGCAGACATTACTTGAGAAATTATGTGTGATACAAGTGAATGTAGCATTGAAAACATTTAACTGGAGTCCAGGAAACCCAGGGACCCTCATTGGTTGCTAAGAGGACAGTACACTACTTCTTACCAAATATTTGTAAGGTGACTTGAAGTTTTTATGATACTTCGTCGATTCAGAGTGTTAATGTACAATATCAGCCACCATCAATGTCATATCAGCCACCAGTATGCCATTGAAGAAAACACTATAAGTTATTTTGTAAAATAACAATAAAGGAATTGAAATATGTGTTCATTTTATTAAAATATTTTGAATTCATGGAGATGTGTTCACTGGGTGGTCTCTTTGATCCACTAGTTTTCCTGTGTGGTTTTTAAATGATTTAACATGTTTGATGTTTCTTCATGTCTAGCTTCTTAAAATCATTATTTCTCACAGAAAGACAAACTGTACTCTATGGAACTTCACTCAGACGGAAAGGAATTCAGAGAAGCTCACAGATCATTTGCAGGAACAAATGATTTTCCATCTTGAATTATTACAGTGGGGTTTTCACCTTTTTTGGGTGAAAGCATCTTTTCGATCCTGTGCACCTTTCAGTGGAGGTTCAGCTTTACTTCCCGCCCTTCTCATTAACAACTGTCTGGGAGGTATAAAAAGGGTCACATTAAGCTATTGGGTCTTTTGAGGAAGAGATTTCATTTGATTTACATGAAAATTATTTTTGAGAGTATCTTAAGCATAAATGTGTTTACAGATGAGGTTGAAGTAGTCTCTTGGTGACAAAACCCCACATGTTTTTCTTTTAAGGCTCAGCTCAATGTCAGGCTGTGTGGGTGAGGTCTCTCGCTCCTAAATGTGCCCACAACCCAATATGTATAACACAACCCTCCTCTTTGTAGGAGAGGGCTTATGGCTTACTCACCCCTCCTTGCCAACATCAAGTTCCTCCAGGCTTAAAAAAACAAAACCAAAAACCACACCCCTTTCTCATGTTTCTAGATCATCTACTTATTTGGTGTTTATTATATAAACTTTGCTTTTAGTCTAATTCATAACATTTGAGGGGAGATTGGCCTAAAGTTAGGTCTTCCACTATAGATGTGTGTGGCTAGCATGTTGCCCTTAGCAAGTTTCTCTGCTCTCTTTCCTCCCTAGTGTCTTAATCTTTGTCTTTCCCCTCCCCTGCTCCACAGGAGTCATTACCCCCTATCAACTCAACACGTTGTTGTGTCAGAACCAACTCTTAGCTAACCCTCTAGTAGACTTTTTATTTATTTATTTTTTAAATAAAATGTTTCTTTTATACTGGTTTACTTACCAAGCTCATATACATTGTTTTTCACACCTGGTCTTTCCCATTTCCTTTACTCATCAAACTGTGTCACCCTGTGATCACTCCCCTGACCATCCTCACCCCTCTGCTCCTACCCTCCCTTGCTGCCAGAATCCTTATACCCGTTTTATTAGTTATCTCCTTCTACAATAGTGATCTTCTACAGTATTTGTCCTTATAGGACTGAGTTAGTTCACTTAGCATAATACACTCCAGTCCTTCCCAAGTTAGGTAGTGATTTTCAAAATCATTGCTGCTGTGTGCTGCCTAGTATCATCATGTGAATGTACCACAATTTCTCAGTTCATTTGATTGTGGTTGGACATTTGGGCTGTGTCCATGTTCTTGCGATGGTGAATAATGCTGCTCTGAACATTGGTGTACAAATCTGTTTGTGTCTCATTTCATTTTCTCAGAGTATATTCCAAGCAGTGGAGTACCTGGGTCATGGCTAAAAATCAAAATGGTGTTTGAAACTCAACCCAGACAACTCTATGTTAAGACATTTTCCAAAACCAAAACTCAGAACATCCTGTGTCAGGACATTTTCCAAAACCAGAACTCAGAAAATCCTATGTCAGGACATTCCCTAGAACCAGAACTCAGAAATTCTCATATTAAGACCTTTTCTAAAACCAGAAACTTTATGCACCAATGAGCTACTGCAATGTCAACTCATCTCACAACCCCTAAAACACACATGCTAAAATCCCATATAAGCTCCCCCTAAGTCCAACCCCCAGAGCTATTCCCCTTCCTGAGAAGCTTGGTGAACTTTGAGAAATATTTCTACTTCAGTGTGGTTCCTGGCTTCAATCCAAAACCTTTCAGTGCAGAATGTCTATGTTCATCCAGCAGGTTTTTGGAGGCTGTAAATATCATGGAAAGAGATTGTCCACCTTTTTCCTAAGAAGCTTCTGGTGGAGTTGAACCATCAGAGAAATGCTGCCTTTTGTTGAAAAGTACAACTACACATAGGACTAGGCTACCAGAGAGAGAAAAAGGAGTTTAAATAGGGACATCTCAGAGATTTGAACAAGGAACACAAAGCAATTTATCAAACACGTTGTTAGTTGCTTTGGATTGACTCCAATTTCTTAGTAACTTCATGTATGAATGAATCATTGCCCAGCCTTGTGCTGTGTTCAGGATTACTGTATGCTTAAATCCATTGTTGTGGCTACTGTGTAGTTTGAATGTCTTCTAACTCAGGGAGCTCATCTTCTAGACAATATTCTCTGCTGTCCATTGGGCTTTCAATAGCTAATTTTCTCAAGTAGACCACCAAGCCCTTTTTCCTAGTCATTGTCTGGAAGTTCTGCTCAAACCTGTCATGCGTGAACCTGCTGCTCTTTGAAATAACCACTGGCATAGCTTTCACTGCCCTGTTATTGTATAAGCCACCACTGTACCACAAACTGACAGATGGGTGGATATCACAGAGACACCAAGAGAGCAGAGGCTGGATGAAGGTCGCAGAGAAGCAGTGCTCTGAACGCCAGCTGGCTGTTACATTATAGTGAGAACTGCAGGGCTGGGCATCGTGATTCGAATACATTTTCGAGAACACTCGTGAACAGTTTCATGTTTTCACTTCAGTGGTCTTTATAGCACTACTTCCATAGGAAATGGTTTCATGTGGCTAGAGACATTTTTAAAATTTTAATTGTGATTGAATGAATTTGCAAGGCGAATTGGGTTTCCATTCAACCATTCATACACATTTAAATTTTATGGCATTAATGAGAGTATTTACACTTTAACTATACTTTCCCCATTTCCTCCCTATGATTCTCATGCCTTTTAATCCTGTCTTATCCTGTCCTACCTTCTGAGCTTTATTCTTGTGCACATATTGCCACTTAGATCTTGTATGCTTGATTATTTTAGGGAGTGAGTATCTCCTTGTGCTTTATATATGTCCTTGAGTCACCTGCAACTCATAGCGACCCTGTGTACACTAGCTCTGAATCCTGCCCTATCCTGAGCCAATCTCACTGTCTCTGACAGACCTGATCCTATTTCTCCAGTCAGTGAGTCAATCCATCTCATCTGGGATCTTCCTATTCTGTGCTGTCCCTCCACCCTCCCAAGCATGATGTCCTACTCCAAGGACGTCCCTTCTGGCCATGTGCAGACCTGTCTATTGTTTGACAGTAGATCCACGTGGTTGAGTTTTGTTTTCTGTCTGAAGGGTAGCGAAGGGAGTAGTCTCAAAATTCCAGTATTCTCTATCAGACCTGTAAACCTGGCCGCGTCTTTGTTTTTTGAGTGTTTTTCCACATTTATTGCTGCTCCTATCCTGGACCTTCTACTGTGATCTATTTTATAGTAGTCTAGAGATAAAGCTTTTTTTTTTTTTAGAGATAAAGCTTTTAAAAGACAACACCTTTTAAAGTTAGGAACCTTCTGTAAATATCTTTTAGGCTGTTAAAACAATATTGATTTTCAGTATTTTTTTTCTAGATACATCATTTAAAAAGCCCTGCTGAGGTTTTCGTTTGTAATTAAGTTGCTAGATTCTTCCCTGGTGTTGTCTCGTATGTAATAAATTGTGATTGGACTGTGGTAACACTGTAAAAAGGGTGAATTTTATTGATGCCATTTTCAGGAGTTGGTTCTGACTCAGTCGTAGGTGACCGGACCCTCCAGTAGGCAGTAAATTGCACGGGAGGAGATCGCCCATCTTAATCCTGCAGAGATTGGTGGATTCGACCAGCTGGGTCAGCTTGATCTTTTGGGTTTGCAGCAAGCTCTCAACTCAGTACTTCACCAGAGCTCCCTTTTTTGAAATTAGTTTCCTTTTTGTGGACAGGCAGTGATGTCTCACTTGAGAACAGCCGCTCATAGAATGGAATGTCCAGCAGGGGGCGCTGTAACGATTGTAATAATAACCAGCATGAAGAATATTGTCATTTTTTAGTGCTACCATGGTATTCTTTTAAATCAGTGGTTTTTGTTGTTTTTTTTTTCTTTAAAAAGATGGTACTATGACTATTCTCCCAGCAGAATTTGCATTAAT